TTTCTGAACTTGACAGCTAAACGACACAAATGCAAATTGTCCTTATTCGGGGACGGCCAGTCTTTTCGATGTCATTGTCTGAACTCAAAACCACTCCGAGTTTGTGCAAAAACTCTGGCTGGCTGGCTTTACAATTCGTCTCCTCCTTCAAACAAATGTTCACAATTACAGCATTGGTTCGCCGTCAACGCCCTAACCTGAACCGATTTTGTGTGCAAGTAAAAGGTTGAGCATGGTTGAGCATGGTTGAGCATGGTTGAGCAATCTGTCTGGGAGCGTTCGACTAATCGACCCTTGGCAGCCATGGGCCATCATGGCACAAAAAGCGGCTGCCAGCAGCATTGGCCCACAGGAGTGCCAACACTACGCATACACTGCGCACTCGACTTGCTCACGATGCACGACCTGCAAGGTTTGCGGCCAACGGGTCCTTTCCAAGCAAAGGCAATCCAAACAGCTTGCAACATACACAAGTCTACAGTCACTTTGGAGAATTGCATGATGGAAGAAGGAAGCTGCCCGATGGACAACATGATACTTCCACTTACATTAGCATCATTAGCGGAATCACAGCCTCTGCTTGCTGGACTAGGCTGGGCAAACAGTGCAAAAGACTGGGACCAAAAGCATCCTTTTGCAATGTGAAAGCTGCCCAAAAGATCTTGGCAACATCTTGTGGGAGTCAGCGCTACAAGCCACTGCCTGAATTTATCTTGCACTTTTGCCAAGTGAAACATGAACAAGCGCCCACCTGACATCTTCGCAGCCGCCCCAAACATGTCTGCACTTGGACGCGAGCAACACAAAACATCTTGTCCCGACGATCGCTTCAGGACTTGAATGGTCCGTCAGTGTCCATCACCACCTCATGGGATAGAGAGCGTTGCTCAAGCGTGTCATGGTGCACCAGGCCGCTGGCATACTATGATCAAACTGTAGTTTGGGTTGCGATGCTCAGAGTGTAACACTTCCAGCATCTCTGAGACAGAAGCTGAGCCGGTGATTCTCTTGTTGAATTCGTGGGCCGGTATATAAGTGCTCTTGCTCACAGGCACCTTGGCACTGAGTAGAGTTTCGACTGTCGAGCTCGATTCGAGGAGATTTGATCACATATCGGGTAGTCACAAAACTGGGCCAAATTGGAAACCCAGTAGCGTTGCCAAAATCAAGACACACACGCAATGCTTCAAATGCCTCATCATGGCAGCAACAAACATTGAGGCCACGAGTTGCTACTTTTCAATTGACATGCTGCTTGCTCACTAACTTGTGCTCCTTCCCAGTGTCATCAAGCTGGCAGGAGGACAGCGACGGCAGCTAGGGCCAGGCTGAAGTCTCACAGCCAGTTGGGAGAACCCTCAAGCACATATATAATGTTCTTGCCCAGCTACCTTGCTTCTGAGTGGGAGTCGACATCCTACAAAACCTTCACTAGTGAGGATGTTCCCTCATGTTCAACCAAAAAAACGGCCCAGCCGGCGCAGCCCTGCACAGCTGCAAACAGTCGCCGCGTCGCCTTGTGTCTGGTCCACTTTTGCCTCCTCGCACAGCCTTGGCTCGCCACGGGCCCCGTGCGGGGCCCCAAATCCAAATTCGTCCGGCCAGGCGTTACCGTCCCGTGACATCTGTCATACGGGTACTTAAAGTAAAGGTCGGGTCTACCAGAATCACCCACCCACCCCCGTTGGTGGAAGAGTGGCAAAGTCTGACTTTTTTGGCACGGCAGGCATGGTAGTTCAAATTGTTGCGATGTTCAACCAAAATGCACATGCAAAGGGAACCCCGATAGTTAAACACAATTTACGGCTCACCACAGGGTAAACCTACCACTGCCACTGCCACTTCATGTTGGACTCATTCCGAGTCCAAGATGACCTTCTTCTCCCACTGACCTCGAAACCACCCGATGGCTTCGGTGCGGGCGGTCCGAAGCAGAGGCGTCCCGGCTGCCAGCACCGAGTCGTGGGGACACCAAGTGGAGTCGATCTTTTGCCGCCTTGGGCGGAAGGATCTGGGCGAAGAACGACAGGGCCGACAGGGGCTTTCTGGGTGGGCTTTTGCACCAAACACTCACCTATAGTATTGTTCTGTTTGAGATTGTGGAGGACAAATGCCGAAGTGAAATTCTGGGTCACCGCAGCTGAGGGGAATACGCTTCCAACCTTGCTTGCATCAGGTGCGCTGAGTCCTTGGCCAATAGCAAGCCTCACTTCCCAGCCTGTCAGAAAACTTGGGTCGGTGCAGGTTTTGAAATACAAAGTGGAGTCTCGGCCTTCGGGGAGCTGAATCTATAGGGGAGTTGTCAGAAAGACACTTGGAAGTAGGTGGAGGAATCAGGGTAGACACCGTAGACACCCTGGGGCATGTCTTCATGTCTTCCGAACAGTTTAACTCCAAAGTATGCTTAACGGTGTTTCATGTGTGGCGGTGTAGACCTATTATATAATACAGGTGAACCACTCTTACATAGCTTCGCATATTTCCACCAAATCAAGCAAACCCACAGATCCGAGTCACAAAACCTCCACAGGCTGTTGCCTACAGACTCTAGACCCAACAAACGGTGCCACGATGTTTTCTCCACATGCTGTAGGGGCGGGTGCTGCCTCCGTGCCGCGATCAACTTCGACTGATTCCTGCCTGGCACCATTCTCCACAGCCATGGTATGTGCCCAGGCCTGAAAAAAGGGGACTCGACATGAAACCTGGTGGGGGGACACGTACCACTTCATAACACTTGGAAGTGAAACCTGCCTGGTAGCCTCCACCTCTGGGCATCAAAGCGCAACAGTTTGACCCATCTAAAATGTACAATACCCAGGATCTCAAGGTTGGGTCATTGTGAGAATCCTATTCAGTTAAACCGTTGGGTTGATTGTCACCCATGGTCACCCCAGGAAAGCCATCCTAGAAGAAAAACACATACTAGTATAAATACACTCCCTGGAACTACAGTAGCATAATGTGGAGTTCACCCCCTGTTTGTAGAGGACAATGGCCTTCCAACGAGCCATTTTCCGCTTCCATGTTAGTTCCAGGGAGCGTATTTTGTTTCACCATGTTTCACTACTAACATCGCCGCCTCACTTGAATCAGCTTGTCCACCATGGTACTCAAATAACAGCTGAAGGCTCTTCATTTACAAATCCAGTTGGTTGCAATAACAGTCCTAGACGTTACAAACACCTGTTTGAGCAAAGTCTTTCCTCGGAAACTGCTTTTGAATTTACATCCCAAGGAGTGTTACACATACACCGTTAGCATATGTTACCTGGTTCCCATCCCCACACCTTCCGACGGCCGCTCGGCCGACCCCCAGGCCCTCGGCCGACCGCACCATGAGGCTGAAGATGTTGCCCTGCACGCCACTCCCGTCCACACCGCTGTAGGGCGGGAAACGGTCCTCAGGTGAAACATGGTGAAACGGTCATCAATTCTGGTGGGGAAAGCCGATATATTTAAGCAAATATATGATTGGCCCAGTCCAGCAGCATATGTATATATAGATATATACATATATAGGCATATAGCTTTGTATGCCTCGCAGGGTCTCAGATCTTCAGTCACCCACCGTGGCCGAAAACACCAACAAGACCATCATAAGACCTATAGGGGTCTAAGACTGGGTCTAAGGGTAAGGATCGCATATAGTCGAGAACTGGTGCGAAACACAGGAGCCAATCAACACCAACACATACACAGGACCTTTGAAAAGGATTGAACTGGTAGTTTTTGGACACCCCTTAACCTCTATGAGGCTATAAATAGACACCCCTTGGAGGGTCCTGGTAGGGAGTCAGTTTCTCAGTTGGATCAGCCCAACTTGCAAAGGTTCCTACAAACGGGGAAGGCTTGCGCAATGCGACGCATGCACAGGTGGCAAAAAAACATGATCCATGAAGTCCACTTACTCTCCTGCGACCACTGGCTTCTAGAGGAAAACACCTTCCAAAGGTCCAGGTTCAGGGTGAAGGCAGGACGATGCAGGAACACATGACCACATACACTCCCCACAAGAAATATTCAGGAGACTGTAACAAAATCCAACAAATCACAACACTCGTAAACAGTGGGAACCTTCCACAGTTCCACCACCCTACGTTCGCCATCCGAGTGCCCCAGCGCACAGGCCGGGCTGGGGAACCCCAGGGGGAACCGGCCTGGTGCCGCTCTGCATGTTTTGGTAAATCAGAAAGAACAGACTTCTTGGGGAAATGGACGATGTTCCACTACCATCCACTACCGGCTATTATTTGGTGTGTATACAGTTTATATATATATATATATGTATGTATGTATGTATGTAAATATATTAATCTATACTACTGTATATATATATAATCGATTTTGTGCTGTATAATGCTGTATTGTACAGTATGTTGCTCGATGGGCTCCTGTGGGTCTCTTTGGCGGAAAAGTACGTCGCCTGCCTCCAGTTGCAGCCCTCTGTGAGGCCATACTCCAGCGCATTGCTGGCCTCGGCCACACACGAGGAACACCACAAGTAGTAAGTAGTAGCATGCAAGCTCCCTTTGGAGAGAGCTTTTGTCGTCAAGTGATTAGAACAGGGAACATATCGAAAAAAAGAGATTGGTGATAGTGTCAAGTGTTCCATGTTTGATCTCCTGATGTTGTCTCACAGATCCTTCTGAAGTCCCAGGAGTATGTCCAAGATATCAGAAACAATTCTGTTGGTTCAAAACGCCGAAAGGAACCGCTTCGCGTTGTACCAAATCTGCAGTGAAGGAGTCAAACCAATGTCAAATCATGTCAAATGTCTTTGGGAAAAAAATTGGGATTCCAGCAGTCTTGCTACCGTCCTGCTAGAAACATATCCACATTAAAGAGCCTCAAAGATCTGGATTGGATTTGGACTCTTGGACCATAGCCTCCAGGTTTGAACTCTTCGCCTCGTGGCCGTCCGGATTCCGCCTGTGCGCGCACGCAAACGACGGCCCTTTTCACCAGCATGTCATGCTTTCGGCATGTCTCCGAGTTTCTCAACCTGGAGAGCGGACGGAGTGCTGGTGCGGTGTGGGGATATGTGGGGATGTAGACTGGTAGACTGGTATATCTATAATTAGAGCTCAATATACAGTTACTAATTGGTGTGCTGGTAGTATTGGCGTGTGCTGATCGTCCGGCCGAGAAGAGCTCAGAGCTCCCAAGCTCGATGAATGAAGATGGAGCCTACGGCCTACGGCGACTGCGAAGGGAATCCGAGATGAAAAAAGGGCGCTTGTCTGCTCTCGCTCTCTCCGAGGTCATTATAGAAGAATCATGAAAATGCAGGGCGGCGGCAGACGGGATCCCGCTTTTGACCTTGACGCTGCA